CATATTGACGCGATCCTACTTGGCATTGCGAAGCGCAAAAGGCCGTGAATTACAACACCTTCAGCTGGGCCGGGACAACCTCGGTTCCTGCGCATCACAGTATCTTTTCCGTTCCTCTCGCCTTGGCATCAGGACAGCGAAGCTATTCGTTCTTTTTAGACCTTTGAAACTCAGCGAGATTTTCGAGACCCAAAATCGGATCGATCAATTACAGAAGTCTGGATAGTTGAGTGATACGGACGAGTTGTCCGACCGCAGCAGGATGGGCAATTGCGGCCTGTGCGCTCTAATGCCAATGGGATCGCGCCATATGACCGCCTCCCGCATGCGGTCCCCCAGGGGCCGTAAGGTATGCTTCCCCGAAGGGTTAGGGGACGAAAATCCCTTTAAATTTTCTCTGTCGTCCCAACTGGGATTGTCCTGATAAAGGGCCTACATTTAATATATGTGTGTTGCTTAAAGTAAACATGCATTGAGAATAAAGAAACAGTGTCGTTCAAAAACAAGAAAATTTAAAGGGACTTTCCGTCCCGCAAGCATTACGGGAACGGCAAAACCCTTCCGGCCTCAGAAATTGAAACGGGACGGTAACGATAATGGTATAATATCAAGTATGCTGCCAATGCAACCACTTTCCACATCGATACGCCTTTATTTTTACTCTCCGGAAGTGAATTTTGGCGCCTTATCGTGCCGATAATAAGGCGCCACTGAAACGTCACCTGTTAGTCTCACTGAGACAGAAACCCGTAAACTCACAGACTCCAGTAGGTGACTTTCTCTACCGTCTCCGTAGGATTTATCGTGACCACTTCCTTGATTGCAGCCTTTCGATTGCAGCATTAGAGTTTCCTGTGAAAGATAAGGAAGTCAGACCTATTCCACATTTTGGACTGCTCATTAGCACCATAGTTATGAAATGACAATAGATAGTGATTAACCAGCGCACTAACCATGGGTCAATATACGTTCTAAGGTCGTGGATTATGTAACGAGCCAAGATCGAAAAAATACGGTAACGGGGGTCTTTTGTTGACCTTATTGCGGTTCACAACGCTTGAGTTCAATCATCATTGATTGGAAATCGCACTTCAAATTTTTCATCGGTTGCCTATAATTACGTCGATACAATTCGGTCCCGAAAAATGGCATAATTTTAATTATGTGGTTTTATGGGGAATTGCATTGGCATGTGGGTTGCCTGAAATGTGATGAAAATTGCGCGGAGCTATTAAAAACATGGCACAATGGTGGAGTAAATATCTCATTTGAAAGCGGATGAAAACAATCAAGATGGAAGTCGAACGACGAATATGAGGGGGTGTCGAGATATCCTCCAACATGTGGATACAGGTCAACATATCCCAGCGAACAAGAACCACTTCTGCTGAGACGCTCTATAGTAAACTCAATTAGGATATACACCAGCTATCGGGAATTTCCGTTTTCAGCTACATAGGCCTTTTCAATAGCTAATCAGCTGATGTTTTGCCTGATCGATCACGGTATCCAAGTCCTTGTACAGTCAATCGCCAAGCGTACCACCCATTGAACACTGAGTGAAACCTGACTCCTTCCCACAATTAGACTTGTGGAGCGATACCTAATACCCGGTGCTCCCAATGAGACTGCGGCATTCTCCTGGACTAGGCCCAGGAGGAGCAGGAACTTACAAGAAAATGACCCCCCCCCCCCCCCCCCCCCCAACCCTGGAGTGGGCACTCATGTACCCTGGGGCCATCTTCCTGGCATCATAGCATAATGCAACACCCCGTGCACGATATGTGGCCGCCAATTCAAATGAATAATGCTCTTTCAAAAAACGAGAAGAGCGTCGGTTGTAGACCATACACCACAAGTGACGACGGCCTCCACAAAATGTGTTTTCTGCCAATGAAATGATTAGCCTGTTGCAGTTGTATTCTATCAGTTGTATGATACACAGCTATCAAATCTTACCTTTTATTGCAGGCGCTGCCGTCACTTGTGGGTTATGGTCTGCCACTCTACGCGCTCCTCATGCGTTTTTGGAAAGGGAGGTATAAGATACCTCCAACTAATTCAGCTCATCGGATAAGTTGACAGGCTAGGGCCTCTTCCTAAGCACAAGGATGGTCAGGCTGATCTCAACCCAGCCTATTCCCAATGACTAGGGATATGTACTCGCTGCCTACGCCTTCTGGACACTGAATTCAGTCTAAACCTAAGCTTCAGAAATGTCCCGAGCATAAGATGTAAGCCTTTATAAGAGGGCATCTTGTGCACTTACATGCCTGCAAACATCGTTAGTCGAAGTCACCCAATCGATTACTGTGAAATAACGACGGGTTTAATTACCGCAGCTGTGGCTGTTCCATGCCTAACAAAGGTTGTAGGTTCAACTCCTAGAGCAGTTTGCAGTTGTGCTTTTTTCTTCACAACAGCTGGGGGACCCATGAGTACACAACAATTAAAACATTTTTTGAGTACATTACGCTTCAACTGCTGCCACGCTTATAGTCCTTTTACGCACCGAAAAATCCATTATTTTTCGTTGCAAAAATGCAAAATGCTCGCTGTTGGAAGCTCTCACGCTTCTCTCCGGCCTGCGTCGTCTACATTTCCAGGTGATAATTGTGAGCGGAATTCGAATAGATTTGAAATACTAGTCATAGGTTGCGAGTGAGCTAAAGCTGAACGGATAAAAATCAGACCAGGGTTAAGTAGCTCGTGGTAGCACTGCATGTTCGAGGCTAACTTGAAGGGGAGCTGACGATGAAAATCACATCAGTCCATTCGTAATCAATGTAGAAGAAGTCAGTGATACAGAGATCAACAAAAAATCAAGAAAACAGCATAGAACTCGAGAAGAAAGACCCCTTTTTATGCCTGTTGATTTGCTGCGATAAAGGCAGTGTTGCCACGGCGTTGTTGACCTAAACAATCCTAAACCCGCCCCATGTGCCATAGCGGCTTAGGGTTAGACGCGAGGGTCCTTTCTTGGGGTGCAGAGCGCGCGAACGGCGCCCGCGCAACCAGTGCTGATAAGGCCCTATTGGGCCGCTGGGGCATTTTCTTCGTGCGGAAGAAGCATTAGTCCGCACCTTCAAGGAGTCCACCTGCCTTTAGGTATACTTCTGCCTTCTTCGTCTTTTGACGTTATCGTGAATAGCTCCTTTGAGCTACTCAGACAAAGCTAGGTACTATGATACTAAAGTTTGCCCTGATCGACTTGTTAATGGAACGCATTCTGTCATTTGACGGGGCCGCCTTTTTAAGCGATGTTATTTGTTAATCAAAAAGATTTATCAATATAACACAGTCATTAAGAAACGGAGGTCCATTAAGCATTACTTACTTACTTGGATACTTGGATGCTCGTTGTCAGCCGATGATCCTCAGCGGCGAGCACACGCTTCCCTCCATTTTTGACGATCTTGAGCGGTTTGGGCCCAGTGTTGGCCCGCATCTTCTTGAAGTTTCTTCAGGGAGTCTCTCCATCGTGTTGCAGGACGGCCAAGTGTGCGCTTCACGTCTCGTGGATACCAGAACGTAACGCGTGTGGTCCACCGATCGTCTAGGCATAATAAAAAGTTTATAAATGTTGACAAAGCGAAGTGTATGGCGGGAAGACATACCTTCAAAAGGACAGTGGACCGCATATTCGTTGAGTTAATTGGCTGGAAAATTCATCTCCTCATAATTTACCCTATGCTTGTGTCCGACGCGATTGGCGTGACGAATCCACGTAACTCTACTAACTAAGGCAACTATTAGGTGCGATTTACCGTAGAACCCCCTCGTATAACTTCGTAGCCTCGGCCAACGCGCAACACGAACACCTTGATCGATCGGTTGCCTTAGCAATCAGTATGAAATTTCGGCTGCGCTATGCAATAGATACGGCGCATGTTAGTGGCAATGCGCATCAAATCGCGCTGAGAAATTACCCTTTGGTTTCGCGGTTAGCGGAACTGAATTCGGGAACGAGGAGAGACTCGCAGAATGCGCGAGGAAATATGTTACAGTTTCTTCGGAAGTTACGTCTCCCTAGGCTGGCTCCGTGAGTATGCCGCTATCTAAGAATAGATAGCGCCAGATTCTAAACTCATTGATGTGGCAGGTAGATGCCAAAGGAAATTTCGAAGACATAGTATGTTAATCGTACGGGGCTGCAACGTCTACTTATTGATATATACTGCATGAGAGGGCATCATATCCCAAATTCAGACTAAAAGCAGCTGCATTTCCAAAGATTTAATTTGATACTTCTGCTCATCACAGTTAGGAGCGCATGTCTGAGCCTGGGAAACACTGTCAATGAAAACTCACATATCCGTCGGCGTAGCGTTTCTCCTCCTGGGGTCAGGTCACCTAAAATTGAGACGCCGTTCATTCGCTCGGAGCAAGCTTAGGACTAAGCCTTAGGCCCAAGTCATAGGCTTAGGCATAAGCCAATGTGTAAGCATAAGCCTTAACCTAAGTCTAAACCCAAACTTAACCTTAAGCTTCAATGATCGCGCAACTGTGGTGACCTGACCCCAGGAGGAGGAAACGCACGTCCTCCCATCATCCGGTGAGGTCCAGTTCAGTACGTTTAGGCTCAGGTCATTACAGTATTTTCCTCGGCCTTCAGAGACTGTCCTCCAATGCAGAGTTCTAGTCTCCTTATCATCAAATGAGTTTTGTTTTCGGGATTATTTTCCGCTCAGAACCTTGTAAACTCGTACAGCACATAGGTTTGCCTCCACTTTTGCCCCATTGTCCCATCGTGAGGGTCGGTGCGTAAAAAAAAAAAGAATTTGGCCCACATTGACTGGCAAAATCCTCTTCCGCCTTCCCACGTGAATCTCGCTATCAGGATTGGTTTTGAACTCATTACCATATCTTCGGTTTTCCTTTGCCGTCGTTTTGAGCATTTCGAGCAGCTTTCCTATTCGGTTGAGGTTTATGTGTCTCGTGCGCGAACTGTAATTTCGCGTAAAATTCCGTGTGAATACTCTGATTTCAGTGAATGTGGAATGCGCGAATGCGAATGCTTGCATGAGCCGACCGATGGCGTGGCCGGTATCGCCAACTTGGTCAGTGATCGATCAGCTGGCCCTCACCGGTTACAAGACCAAGAATTCCATCTAACTGTGGCAATTTCAGATAATGGTCATCGGCATTTTGCCGGTGATGGCCACAATTGGAGTGTTTTTGAATTTTCTGAACATTGTTGTATTCTCATCGCAACGGAACACGGCCGCCAAATATCTTACGGCGTTAAGCTGTAGTGATGTTGGTGAGTTGGTGAACGTAATTTAGTGATTTTGTGCATGTTTTAGCTTACATTTCTTAAAAGAGTGAAGTGGGCGTAGTGGAAAATTGCGCAATTTATCGTTCGCACGATCCAGTGATCAAATCTGGGATGCATGCCATTCGCGGTAATCAAGCCTTCCATACCTCCGGGTTCAATCAAGACTGGTACCAGACTAATTTGGGCGGACAAAAAACTGCCTTGACTGCCTTCAAAACTAGCTGTGTGGGTCCAATCGCAAATTTCAAATGGCACCTCAAATCTAGACGGAAATGGTATGTGTGGCGCATCCTGGAGGGATTATTCACTTTGATTGTTGGTTGCGCTGTTTTTTAAATTAAATAACATACTGATCAGGGGCGGAAGTGGTGTAGTGGCAAGTGGCACGCTTACCACGCGAGCGGTCCGGGGATCAAATCCTGGGTCGTGAGTCGCCCGGGCCAACCAAGCCTTCCATCCCTCCGGGGTCGGTTAATTGGTACCAGACTTGTCTGGGAGGATAAAAACACTGACTTGTACATCGGCTGGCCCCCGCAAGTCATTGTATAGGCCACACATTCAAACGCCACTGCGAATGTACAAATGGAAGTAGAATGCGTGCCGCATCCCAAAAAGGGATTGATCAACGGCAAATGCTTTATCCTTTTATCCTTTTAATTTGCTTTACCATTTCAGTCCTATTTAGTTCTGGTCCTTTTTATCTTATCCTCCTCCTTATCCTTTAACATACCGATTTCATCAGTTTTTTTTTCAAGAAGTTTTATGGCTTTCTTCATGACCCTTCTCGAAAAGTTGTAACAAATTTTACTCATTGTGCCCTGCCAAATAGTTCTGGGTTCTGAAGGCTATAAATGCACTTCAACCAATGCCAGCCGATAAGCTCAACTGTCGCTAAGGTCCACTATTACTCAGAGGTTCTAGGAGTACTGGTCATTGCTCGGATTGTAGCTAATGTAACTCGTCGGACTATATCATTATCTAGGTGTTTTCGTCGCAGAGTTACTAGTTCACCCATCTCAGGGACTATTTGAATGTTTGGCGTACGTGAAGTTGCAACAATACCAAGAATAACGGTCATAATCGGATCGAGTCATGCCTAATTGCAGCTAAGCTTGGTAGGCGTTTTGATTACGATTAATTGATTTAGGTACTGTGTTGGGAGGAACATCACGGTGTGAGTGCTAGGTCAAATTGGCCACGACTTGATCTTATGCTAAGGTCAAGTCCAATTCCAAATGCCAACAAATTGGAGCTGAGTTCAAGCGCGTGGCGCATCCCAAAAGAAGATGGGAATTTTCTAATTCATAGTAACCCTTTTCGGAGAAGTACATCCTAATAGAACTTATTCATTGAGATGTAGAGGCTTTGTGATGTCACGAGATGCTGATCCTTTCCACGGCCTCCTCCAAATTGATTCATTCACTACCACACCTTTCCTGTATATAAAAATTATTGATTCGGATTCAGGACAGCCTGTCTTGTTGAATGGTGTCCCCCCCCCTTCGCAACTCAGTCCAACATTTTCTTCTCCTATATTCTGAGAAATCCCAACCTTTGACGGTCTATTGACGCTTGAATAAAGAATTAAAGGTTGAAATTTGCGTTCATAGCAGATTCTCTTCTCTGGCGCTGCGGCAGCATTCTACTTCCCTTGTACATTTTTAGGTGGGGTTTTGAATGCGATTTGGCAGATACAATGGCCAATTTGATGGGGGCAATGTAGTGCACCAATTCTTCTTTTACCATCCTGGTCAATGTCTGGGTACCAATTAGGCGGACTGCGGTAGGGATGCGCAAGGTTGGTGTGACCTGGACGAGCATCAACTCATGAGATCGACTCAGGATGGTTGGGTCGTAGTAAGAGTGCATCTTGGCAGCTACCCACTGCGCCCGCATGTCAAATCGTAATCGTGTTCGAAACTCGCAATTGGTCTCAGCACAGATGATTTCATTGCGAATTTTCTCACGTTCTTTCAATCGATATGAAGACGAAAGATTTTGAATTTTCCCGAGCAAATGCAGGGATTGCAGGTTTCTCCAATAGGCCCTGCAACGTTTTTTTTAATCCATATTGAATAAACCCATTTTTAGGTGTATGTATGGCCGGTGTGGTGGTGATATTCGCGGACTCGTTGAGAGCTCGAGCATTTGTCGTCGATCAGCTGTTTGTTTTCCTTCTACCAAAGCTGATTCCGCTTGGATTATTTTTCCAGGTGAAAACACAATATTCATCCCATTAAGGCTTTCTTTTGGGTTCAGATAGACCACGGCAAATATGCAGACAAAGCTGCAGACACAACAATAACCTTGAACCGGGAGAATTTTTATATAATTTTCAGATGCTCTCTGTTTACATCACAGTGCTGGCGGCCTTCGATTGTTACATCTCCGTATTACGGTAAGTCAGTCATTTCGTACTTCATTTCATTTAACCTTCACCATCGTCTTTAGAAACTGCCCTAGAAGTTTCCCAGTGTACAGAAATGCTATGATCCATGTGCTCAGCACATGAATAATATTTTATACTCAGTGACTTGATATTTGCTCGACATGCTCCAGCGCCATTTTCCTAAATACAAGGTCAGGCGTATGTTGGGGAATCCTCGACAGGTCGATGAGGTTTCGGGGGGGGGTCTTGCTAATTCATCGTTTTTACTGCTTTCTTGGTAAGATTCATTGTTTCTCAACTTTCATTGATTTTTCTACTTGTTGAACAACCTTAATGGTAGAGGGGGGAAGGTGGGTGTTTTTTTTTTTGAAGAAAGAATTTCGGGCGGGCTTAACAACTTTTCCTACTTCGGCTTGTGAAGAGAGTCTTTTCATGGACTTCTGCCGCTGCCGCTGGAGTGCGTATTTGAAAAGTTTTCTCGACGCCTCGCTTGACACTGCCTAAATATCCACTTAGAACCGGAACTCCACTAAATATAACTTGGAATAGGCAGAATTGGTGTAGTGGCAAGTGGCACGCTTATCACGCTAGCGTCTGGGGATATACGAATCCGCGCGCTCGTGAGTCGCCTGCGGACCAAAAACCAAGCCTTCCATCCCTCCGGGGTCGGTTAATTGGTACCAGACTTGTCTGGGAGGATAAAAACACTGACTTGTACATCGGCTGGCCCCCGCAAGTCATTGTATAGGCCACATCGCATTCAAACGCCACTACGAATGTACAAATGGAAGTAGAATGCGTGCCGCATCCCAAAAAGGGATTGATCAACGGCAAATGCTTTTATATTATTTTTATCATTGGAAACTAAGGCTAAA